GGGTTATTTAGTGAAATGTGTTTTTTTTTCTGGTGCAGATTTCTCTGAGGGCATGACCCCACAGCCTTTGGTGATGACTGAGCATGATCCATCGTCTGCAGTGACTGTCAGCTCCTCTACCAGCATCCCAGCTGCTGCCTCCTCTTTGGTTCCTCCATCCTCCACTTCAACTGCCATTCCCCAGCCCAACAGCAGCAGCAAGCCCTGGAGGAGCAAGTCAACCAGCTCCAAGCACGCTGCCTCTCAGTCTCTGTCCACCAGCACAAACCCATCCACAATGCAGTCCAGCAAGCAGGACAAGGACGCCTCCTCAAAGGTTGCTGTGGCAGCTGAGCCGCCTCCCAAAGCGGTCACTCAGAAGTCAATGCTGGAGAAGCTCAAGCTCTTCAACAGTAAAGGAGGGTCCAAATCATCTGCCACCACTTCTTCATCTAATGGAGTAGCGCCCCAGCCTGAGAACGCTGCTCCATCCAGGCCACTCGGGGTAGGACAGGTGGAAAAGTCTGAAATTGGCTCCAACACGGACCCCCTAGAGGAAGACAACGGCAACCTCCGACCAGGTCTGAATGGAACCAGCAACGGAGCACCTCCCACCACTGTCTCTACAACTGCCAGCAGCCCCAAAATTGCTTTCCGGGGCATTGCCCAGCGCACTTTCAGCAGAGCTTTGACTGCCAAGAAGGGGTCTGTGAAAGGCCATGAGAAGGAGAAGGGGAAGGAGAAAGGGAAGGACGTGGGAAAGCGTGTCCCTGATAGAACAGAGATGAGGGGTGAGGAGCCTAAGGAGGACTTAACACCCATTACTGCAGATGGTGATGGGTCAAACAAAAGGACCTCCAAAATTGCTAGTTTCATTCCTAAGGGAGGGAAAGTAGCCAAAAAGGAAAGTTCTACAACTGCACATAGCGGAATACCAAAGCCAGGAGGGAAAGCCCCAGGAGCTGGGGTCAAAGCCTCCTCAGTGAAGGAGGTGGGGGAGAGGCCTAGGAGCATGCGGTTGGGAGGGGGTCTCACCATGCACCGTGGCCCCCTGGACAGAGACAGGGACAGCAGACACTCCAGCTCTACCTCCAGCTTGGCCTCCACAGAAGGAAAGCCCAGCGCCACCTTAGCGGCAGGTGGAGGCACCACACAAAGCACAGCCATCAACACCGTCAGCGTGCAGCTACCTCAGACTCAACAGCACCACAGCCACCCCAACACAGCCACTGTAGCACCGTTCATGTACCGGTAAGGGCCCACATTTCTGCTCAAAGCTAAGTTATGTTGCCTCTTTCTCCTATTCCTCAGCTTTATTTTGTTTAACTTTAAATAAATGACGCAGATGCATCATTAATGGCAAACCTTTTAAACTCTTAGATCTTTGAAGCTTTTGGACAAATATGTGTGAATGTTGTGCCTCTGACCTGTGTCCTCATCCCGCCATGATAAGGACAGATGTCCCTCACAGTCTAAATGATTCCCTTTTGACAGCCACTTATTAGATTCCATACATTTGATTTATTTCACATTTATTACACATTCTGACCTGTAGACCCCCCATAACATAAATAAATACATTATCTACCTATCTATCTGTGCTGGCATGGTGGAGCTGTTGCCTCTAAGAGAGGTCACTGGATTGAATCCTGGCTGGGGGGTGGGGGGGGGGGGATTCTGGGTGGAGTTTGCATGTTCTCTCTGTGCATGTGTGGGTTTTCTCTGGGTCCTCCAGTTTCTTCCCACATACCAAAAACATGCATGTTAGACTGATTGGTGACTCTATTGTCCCTATAGGTGTGAGTGAATAGTTGTTTGTCTCGTATATGTGTCTCTGTGATGAACTGGAGACCTGTCCAGGGTGTCCCCCACCTCTCACACAGTGACTGCTGGATATGGGCACCAGTGACCCCTGTGACCCGAAAAAGAAGTAGCGGGTAAAGATAATGGATGGATGGATGGATGGATGGATGGATAGTCAAATATAGTTACTACCCATATTTTATCATGTACACATGTCACACGTGTGTACATAGGCAGTAAATACAAAGAAAACATTCATAAAACAAATCAAACCAGCATAAAAATTGATGGACAAATTTTTTATTTTTAATGAATATTGCTTCAATTACACAGAAGTTCAGAACATTTTAGGTGCTGTCTTTGACTTTTACTGGCTCATATTCAGAGTGGGAGTACATTAGTCAACAAGGACAAAGTCTGGAGTCGAGCAGAGACCAGTGTATGACCCAGGCGTTTAAACGTCATCACCTGAAAAAGCACCCGGCCAGCGCAGTGCTCCTGTATTGATTTATCCTTCAAAGACAAACGTTACTGACGTCTGAGTCTTTGCAGGCATTCATTTTGGACCACGGTCACAAGGCTTGAAACACAACAGCTTTAAACCCTAATCAGGTTTATCCCTCCTTCGTGACAATATTTGGAATATTAGGTTCCCACTAAGGGCACAATAATTCTCAATCAGTGGTTTCCTCACTTTGATCTCTTTGTGTTTGTTCCAGCTCCCAAACTGACGGAGAGGTGAACACAGAGAACAGTTCAGGGGGGAGAGGTGGAGACATTTCCTGCACCAAGACCAGCCATACCTCCATAGAGGATCTTTCAGGTTAGTGGTGGCTTGCAGTCAAGTCTGCCTCTGTTCACAATCTAAATTTCACAACTCTGAACATTTGTAATGTTTCATTCAGGTGAAGACCCAGAGACAAGGCGGCTGCGTACTGTCAAAAACATCGCAGACCTGCGGCAGAACCTGGAGGAGACGATGTCGAGCCTGCGGGGAACTCAGGTCACACACAGGTACAAACAACAGCCGATTTCTTGATTCACTGTCACTGACCTAACTCATGCTGTAATGTATAAACGTAAGCAGGAAATTAGGTGTACTGTTTATCATTTTCTTGTGTTTTGAGAGACACTTTTTAAATGTTTGAGGCAAATGATGTGATTTTAGTTTATAACTCAGCTACAGCTGTTATAAACTCACTTAATAAAATTTAATCTGTGAGCGTTGAGCCGATGACTGAACTGCTTCAAGGTCAGCAGACTGAATCCGTCAAAGGTTACAGGCTTCTTATATTTTTCATTATGCTTTTTTTTATGATGCATTTTACTTTGATCAAAGGGCACATCTTTTGCCTTGCCTTATATTTTGGTTCAGCTCAAACAATATATAAGTAATGTAGGTCAAACCATTCCTGACGCCTCCTTTCATCTCTATGTCGACGATACTGTTGTTTATTGTTGAGCTAACACATTTGCCAAGGTTTTCCAGCTTCTACAGTCTGATGTGAAATCATTCAGTCAGACTTATTCCATCTCAAGCTGGTGCTAGATACTGATAATTCCAAAGAGATGTTGTTTTCCAACAGAAAGTCAGTGCCAGCAACTCTTCTCCATATCTCATCCATGGACGGTGTTCCTATTGAATTTGTAGATTCTTACAAATACTTGGAAATATTGGTCGATGCACATCGCTCTTTTAAACCACATATTGAAAACTTGATAAAGAAACTGAAATTAAAATTGGGTTTATTTTTCAGAAATAGGTCTCTGAATGCCAGAAAACGCTTTGTAACTGCTACCTTCCTACCGGCCATTGACTATGGTGACATTATTTACATGAATGCCCCTGCCGGCTCCTTGCAGGCTGCACAGCTGCAGAAAGAAAAGCTTTGCAGAGAGTGGTGAAGGCTGCACAGAAGTCTGTTGGAGTCAGTCTCCCCACCATCACAGACATCTACATCTCTAGATGCAGGAAGAGGGCCACCTGCATCATGAAGGACCCCACTCATCCAGCACACACACTTTTTGCCCCGCTCCCCTCATGAAGGAGGTTGAGGAGCATTAAGTGTAGAACCACTAGACTGAGGAACAGCTTCTACCCTGAGGCTGTTAGACTCATGAATCTCTAACCAGAATAATCACTGTGAAAAATCACATCATGTTGCTGCTGATCTGTTTCATGTTGCTGCTGATCTGTTTCATGTTGCTGTGTTCATGCGTGCTCATCTGCTCACACAGACTCATGTTCGTGCTGCTGTTTGGCATATTGTTTTTATGTTTTTATGCTATTAGTGCTTAACATATTTTTATTTGATGTTTTTGTGCTATTAGTGCTTAGTGTATATTTAGTTGATGTTTTTCTTAGTTCATATCTTAGATCTTATTGCTGTTGTTCTTTTAGAGTCAGAGTCAGAGTCAGAGTCAGAGTCAGAGTTTCTTTATTGTCATTCGCACCTCATGTGGTACATGTGGTGGAGCGAAATTATGTACACAGGGTCCCAGTTACATCCAACAATAAAATGTATAAGAAAAACAGTAATAACATCTAAGATATGAACTAAGAAAAACATCAACTAAATATACACTAAGCACTCATAACATAAAACATTGAACATCAGCACAAACATGAACATGAGTCTGTGAGCAGATGTGCACGCATGAACACATCAACATTGAAACAGATCAGCAGCAACATGAAACAGATCAGCAGCAACATGATATGGTTTTTCACAGTGATTATTCTAGTTAGAGATTCATGAGTCTAACAGCCTCAGGGTAGAAGCTGTTCCTCAGTCTAGTGGTTCTACACTTAATGCTCCTTAACCTCCTTCCTGAGGGGAGTGGGGCAAAAAGTGTGTGTGCTGGGTGGGTGGGGTCCTTCATGATGCAGGTGGCCCTCTTCCTGCATCTGGAGGTGTAGATGTCTGTGATGGTGGGGAGACTGACTCCAACAGATTTCTGTGCAGCCTTCACCACTCTCTGCAAAGCTTTTCTTTCTGCAGCTGTGCAGCCTCCATGCCACACGTTGATGCTGGAGCACAGGATGCTCTCCACTGCACACCAGTAGTAGTAGGTGAAGACTGAGCTTCCCAGACCAGCTCGCCTCAGCCGTCTGAGGAAGTAGAGTCTCTGATGAGCTTTCTTGATCAGGCTGGTGGTGTTGTTGCTCCAGCTGAGGTTGTCATTCATGTGTACACCCAAGTACTTGTAGCTGGAGACCACTTCCACCGCAGATCCTCTTATGTTCAGGGGGGTGTAGGTGTTTTTGTTCCTTCTGAAGTCCACAATCATCTCCTTTGTCTTCTTCACATTGATGTGAAGGTTATTCTCTCTGCACCAGCTCTGCAGGTGTTCCACCTCTTGCCTGTAGCTGGACTCATCATTGTTTGTGATGCATCCCACCACCGCTGTATCATCTGCAAACTTTACAATGTGACAGCCTGGATGGGTAGCTGCACAATCATATGTGAGCAGAGTAAACAGGAGGGGGCTCAACACACATCCCTGAGGAGAGCCAGTGCTGAGGGTTATGGTGGAGGAGGAGAGGTTGTGGATCCTCACTAACTGTGGTCTGTTTGTTAAAAAGTCTAGTACCCAGTTGCAGATGGAGGGGCTTAGTCCTAGTGTGGATAGTTTGTCCATCAGGGTTTGGGGGATCATGGTGTTGAAGGCGGATGTGAAGTCCACAAAGAGCATACGGACGTAAGAGTTTTTCTGCTCCAGGTGGTTGAGCGCAGTGTGGACCACAGAGGAGATTGCATCCTCTGTTGATCGGTTCTCACGGTATGCGTACTGATGAGGGTCCTCGTTGATGTTGATGGTTGTTTTGATGTGAGTCATGACCAGTTTTTCGAAGCATTTAGCGACTATCGGGGTGAGGGCCACTGGCCGATAGTCATTCAGACCAGTCACTGTAGAGCTTTTTGGGACTGGGATGATGGTGGCAGTCTTCAGGCAGGTGGGAACTGTCTCCAGGGTAAGTGAGGTGTTAAAGATGTCTGCCAGCACCTCACAGAGCTGATCAGCACATTCCTTCAACACTTTTCCGGGGATGTTGTCTGGGCCAGTTGCTTTGTGCGGATTAATCCTCCTGAAGGTTCTCCTTACTTCTGCTGAGGTCACGCTGAGATGCTCTTCATCCGGTGGTGAGGTGAGTCTGGTGCTGGGTGGTCTGTTCGGGTCTTCAAAGCGTGCATAGAACTTGTTGAGGGCATCAGGCAGAGATGGGTCTTTGGGACATTGTTCACTCCTTCCTTTATAATCTGTTATGCACTTAATGCCCCTCCACATGCTCCGAGGGTCTTGTGAGATGAATTGACCCTCGATCCTCTTTGCATATGTGGCCTTGGCCCTCTTAATACCAGCAACCAGCTCTTTTCTTGTCCTACTCAGCTCCTCTGAGTTTCCAGACCTGAAGGCAGTGTTCCTGGCTTCCAGCAGGGTACGCACCTCTGCATTCAGCCAAGGTTTTCTGTTTGGGTAGCTTTTAACATTTCTGATAGTGGAGACTGTGTCAGTACATGTACTAATGTAACCCAGTACTGAGGATGTGTATTGGTCAAGATCAAG